TTCACTCCTGACGACTGCTGTAGTCTGTCAGCTCACTGGCACGAGGGAGGCTGACCAGGAGAGACAAAAGTTTGGCTACAACATTGTTGAGAAATCCCACAAAGTACTCTTGACTCTTCCTATATTGCCATGAATAATAATTTTTTGAAGCTAGGAAGACAGAGAAAAGGATTTCCAATGAAATAGAATTACTGACAAAATAGATACGAATATTAAATCTACTTTTAATTAGTATATTCAGTGAAATAAACTATTATAATTATAAGGTGAGGCAGCTCTGAAGATGATAGAAAATATTTTACAATGCTGAATCATTTATTTTACAATTAGATAAAATTTTTTAAAATATATTTCATTGCTTAAGCAAGGTATTCTATGACTTAAGGCAAACCAAAACTAGTTTGAAAGTAAACTAAGTTTTAAATATTTTTAAAATAATTTATTTTAAATATTTAAATTTAAATTTAAATAAATTAAAATTTATGTTTATATATGTATTTTTAAATAATTTATTTCAAGTCATGGGTAAAGGGACCTGGAAAAACAACTAATAGACACCATTCTAGATCACTCATTACGTGTTAGGAAACAGCAGCAGTAATTAAAAATATTTTATTGCTCACTTTCACAACAGCTCATCAGGTAATTTTCATTATGTGCTTTTTGCACATGAGGAAGTGTATATCATAGAACTTAATTTCCATGATAAGGGCCTGTATGTGGCAATGCTGGACCTGTAACAAAAGTCTCCCTGTGATACAGAAAGAAATACTGCATGCTCTCACTTATCTATAGAATCTAAATAGCCAAATTCAAAGAAGTAGAAAGTAGGATAGTGGTCTGAAGAGATCTTTCTCAAAGGGTATAAAATTTCAGTCATTCAAGATGAATAAATTCTGGAGTTCTAATGTACAGCATGGTGTGATCATATGAATGTTTTTGTCCTCCCCCTCCCCCCAACCCTGTTCCAAATTCATATGTCGAAATCCTAATGCCCATTGTGATGGTTTTAGGAGGCGGGGCCTTTGAGAGGTGATTATGTCCTGAATGGGATTAGTGCCTTAATAAAAGAGACCCCAGAGACATCTCTGGCTCCTTCCACCATGTGAAGTCACTATGAGAAGTTGGGAGTCTACAACGTGGAAGATGGCCTTCACCAGACCGGCATGATGATCCTTTCTTTGAGGAAGATTAGACCTTAGCTAACATCCGTGCCAATCATCCTTTTCTTTTGCTGAGGGAGACTGGTCTTGAGCAAACATCCATGCCCATCTCCCTCTGTTTTATATGTGGACGCCTTCCACAGCATGGCCTGCAAACTGTGAGTAGGTCCACACCCGAGATGCAAACTGGTGAACCTTGGGCCACAGAAGCAGAACGTGGCAAGAGGATCTTGGATTTCCTCAGCCTCTAGAACTGTGAGAAATAAATTATCATTGTTTATAATCCACTCATTCTGAGGTAGGTTGTTATAGCAGCCCAAACAGATAAAAACACACGGTGACTACAGTTAACAATACTGTTTGAACAACAAAAATTTGCTAAGAGAATATATATCTTCAATTAACTCACCACACACAAACACATACATATGTACACACACATTCACACACAGTCTCACAAAATTGTAACTATGTAGAGAGAACGGATTTGTTAATTAGCTTGATTGTGGGTATCATTTTACAATTTATACATATATTTAAACATCAAGTTGTACACTTTAAATATTTACAATTTTTATATGTCAATTCTCTCAAAGCTATTAAAAACACTAAAACAAAATATGGCTGTGAGATATATGTGTGTCTATGTGTATCAAAAGCAGACCTGGAGTACTCTTGGCAGGGCTATCAAGGACCTGAAAAATGCAAGAAATTGTTCAAGGCTTGTCTTTAATTATTTCTTACATCTGTTTGTGACTCTACAGTTATCTCAAGTTTTTTTAAAATGTTGCCAACTTTAGAAAGTCTTCTCTGGGATACAAGTGTCCCTTTGATTGTGCATCCTCCGTTGAGCTTTTCTTTGAGGTGGCAGACATGGCCCAGGAGAAGCATGAGTGAGTCTGGTGTTTTCAGGGATCTGTTGGTGTTTCTGGAGGACTGGGAATGGGGCTCAAAGGCAATGAGTAAAGAGAGGAGAGATTGTAGAACTGGGCAGGAGTTTCTTCATCAAGACCCTTTTATATAGGTAAGGAGGGCCCTAGAAATTTCTCTGGAGAATCACAAACACCATTAAGTATTTACATGTATAAGAAGCAAATGTGTCAGCTTTCCCAGATCCCTCTGGCTTTAAGATCATCAGGTCTCCTCATTTCCTTCTCTCACCCAAAGGAGGGAGGCAGTGATGCCCTCTGCTGTGCCTGATTACAGATGTGACCCAGACGCTGGGCTGTCAAAAGGAACATTGAACACTTATAATTTCATAATTTTGCATATCCTCTCATTATTTAGGTCATATGGAGTTTTCTACTTCTCCTTAGAGGGAGTCATTTTTTTTATCACTCAAATTATTCATTTAACATAGATTCTAAAGATCACAAGCTAGAATTGTATAACAATTATTAAATTTTCTAGTTGTCAGTAATCATTTTTCCTTCACAATTTCATTAGTTGGTATAGATGCCCTTTGACTTTTTTGTGTGTAAAATGATCATGTTCTCCTTCTACTGTAATTTTTCTTTAGTATTTTTATTTGCTCTTCAATTATTTCAAAGAGTAAATTTCCTATGTGTGAAAGGAGACAGCAATTTGGAGACTGGAAGGGGCTGGTAGCTCCCCAAACCAGAAAACCTTGGCTGGGCTTCACAGAAGACCACGTGCTGCTGCAGTTGCCTCCACCTGTGACACAGGCTAGTGGTAGTTGAGAGTTAATGACTCAGAGGGAAGCAGGAGGCTCAGGGCAGTGAGGAAATGGCAAAAATACAACACTGCAACTGCAACAAACACAACACAGCCTTGACATTTTCAGATTTCAGGCCCCATAGCTGTGGCACCACCCATAAGATATGTTGTTGGGGCAAAGTAGCATGAGTTGCTAAATGAACCGGAAGGCCTGTGGCCTTTGAGAGCACCTCTGAAGGCACAGATGCCACTTTTGACATGTTAGTTTACTTTAGGTCTCCTACAATATATTAAACCTCAAAAATTAACTCATGACCAACATTAAATATATATACCATAAAATTGGTGATTTTGTTAAAGAGGACCACTTGGCATAATAGAATGTTGAGGAGCAATATACTTTCCATTTATTCATCTGCTAGGAGGAAGTTTTTAACCCATAACATGAAAATAATAAGAGCAACGTTATCAAGTGTCTGATATTCTCAGTAGTAACTGAAAGAACTTCGTGTCTGTGAAGATAAATTTTCGTGTCAAATTGGCTAGTCGACAGTACCTAGATTTGGCTAAATGTTGCTGTAACGGCATTTTCTAGATGCTATTAATATTTAAACCAGTAGACAGAATAAAGCATATTACCCACTATAGTGTGGGTGGGCCTCACCCAATCAAGTGGCGGCCTTAAAAGAACAACAGACAAAGGCGGTGGCCTGGTGGCGCAGCAGTTAAGTGCGTACATTCTGCTTTGGCAGCCCAGGGTTCGCCGGTTTGGATCCTGGGTGCGGACATGGCACTGCTTGACAAGCCATGCTGTGGTAGGTGTCCCACATATAAAAAATAGAGGAAGGAGTGCACGGATGTTAGCTCAGGGCTTGTCTTCCTCAGCAAAATGAGGAGGATTGGCAGATGTTCACTCAGAGATAATCATCCTCAAAAAAAAAAAAAAAGAATAAAAGACACAAGACTCCCCACCCCCCCAAAAAGGAATTCTGTTTCTAGATTGCCTCGGACTTGGGCTGCAATATCAACCCTTCCTGGGTCACCAGCCTGCCACACTGCCCTACAGATTTTGGATTCTCACCCATCGTAACTGCATAAATCAATTCCTTAAGATCTATCTATTAAACTGTCTGTCTACACGTACATACTGTTGATTCTGTTTCTCTGAAGAACCCTGACTATTACAGTATCTAGGAATGTACTTGTACAGGTTAGTTTCAAAGTGCTTCTGAGGAGTAAAACAATTGCCTCACTTCCCACCCCCAGGAAATAAATGAGAGTTACCTGAGTTGGGAGGGTACAAAGCACAGCAGAGGGGAGTACCAGCTGTAGGTGATGAGAGTGAGAACAAACCCAGATTTGGACACCATGGAGAGATTAGCACAGGATGAAGAGATTGTATAGCATCATCATCGAGCGAAATAGAAGGTCATTGGAACCCCATGTTAATGAACACAGGTTATGTGTTTATTGCAATGAAGATGTTAAGTCCCCAGATTGAGAGGCTACTGACCACAGTTGCATGCTACTTGATACTCCTGCATGCATATTGTCTATGGATGATCCTGCAGGTTGAAGCTTCCTTATTTCCTGAGATTCTCCTCAGTGCACTCAAACTTTTCACTATGGTGCACATCTACTTCATTGATGGCCCAGCACAGAATTACCAGATGGAGTGATTGTTGCTCAGTGGTTCAGAGGTTATTGGGAGAGAATAGCCCTAGAATGGATCTGCACATTGCAAGTCCACACTTAATTCCCACCCAACTTTTTGAGTCCAGGATACCTTCTCTGGTTGTTTACTGAGAAGACAGAGTGCAACGGGGAGCAATTTAAAATTTCCATATTCTCTTCACCAAAGGGCTTCATTTTAGGACCATGAGCCTCTGTTAAAAAGTAGAGCCATTCAGGGGCCGGCTCTGTGGCTGAGTGGTTAAGTTAGTGTGCTCCACCGTGGCAGACAAGGGTTCCACTGGTTGGAATCCTGGGCGAGGACATAGCACTGCTCATCAAGCCATGCTGAGGTGGTGTCCCACATGCCACAACTAGAAGGACCCACAACTAAAAATACACAATTTTGTACCAGGGGGCTTTGGGGAGAAAAAGGAAAAATAAAATCTTAAAAAAAAAAAAAAAGTAGAGCCACTTAATATGCAGATCTTTTTGGTTGTATATGACAATTCAGGTCTTTATTTCCTTGTAAGAAGTTACTTCATCCAGAACTGGAGGACTGGGCGTTCCAGTAAATGAGAAGATGTGAATGTCCCTGTAGATTCCTTTTGCAATAATTGCAGAGCACAGATATTAGCTAGCTAGTGACAGCCTCAGTCATTGTAACAATGGGGTGACAGGATAGCAAAGGTCAAAGGGAAAATTTAGAAGATCAACATCCTCAATATTCTGGTGATGAGCACGGAGATATGGATGTGTACATACAGAGAAACACATACACAAACATATACTGGACGTATTCACCTTGGAATTGCTTATCTCAAAAGGTCATCCAAAGATGAGGAAGTTGGGAATTCCTGGGGACAAGCAGGGATGAGAGCAGATACCACTTGACCAATCAGTGCACTCCTTGGTTTTTTTTTAAACTCTGAACTTTGTTGGGGGAAGAGTTTTGAATAAAAATATCAAAACACATGGGGGTTCCCAACACGTCCTGAATGAACTTCCATTGCAGAAATAATTCCCCTCCTATCTCACTGAAGGTGGAGAACAGGCTTTCCCCATAATCCTGTGAACTTTCACTTCACTGCAAAATTAAGGCTGACCAGGGTACAGAAAATATCTACACCTATCTTAAGAAATTCCACAATTGTACATCTCACTCTTACTGTATCATTGTGAATAATAACTTTTTAAAGTTGGGTAAAGAGAGCCCAAATTGAAATTCGATTCTGTAACACAGAATTAATGCAGAAAAAAAGAAATGAAAGAAAGACCATGAGGCTAAGTAGAAACACTTATTTAAAATAAGCTAAAATTTAAAACAATTATAATCCTTTAAGTTACTGTATTTCGTTAAAAAAGTCAAGGATAATAATGTTGAAAGTAAACTAATATGAGTTCTTAAAATCATTCATTACAGTTACAGTGAGAAGGTGGCAAAAATGATAGACACCATGTTGGATTATTGATTATGTACTGGAAATGCTGGAAGTTACTGAAAACATTCATTTCTTTAATTTTTATAATATTGCATTCAGTAAAGTTCATATTTTTTTACAACTAAGAAACAGAATCCTATAGATTTTAGTTTACTTGATAACGGCCATTATGTAGTAACACCAGAATTATGATAAAATTCTAACTGTGATACAAACACACCCACACATACGCTTATGTATCACAGGCAGAGCTGGAGTAGTCTTGACAGCAATACACTGGTATCTGGGACCTGAAAAACGAGACTTCGGTGAAAAGAATCCTAGTGTCCCTGAAAACACAAACCTGTTTCATGAGACACTGACAGAGCCCATAATTTTCAGCAATTAATATAGCAAGTATTAATTATTAAGATAGACACACAAGTGCTTTATACTTAATGACATTTATCTACTCACAATGACCTAAGTATGGTGCAGTTCTTATATCAAGATTATTCTAAGAAAATAAACACAGGACTTAAGTATATCATTTAAGTTTACACTGCTAGTATATGGAGAGACAGGACTTGAACTCAGACACTCTGGACATAAAACTTCCACTCTTAGTACATAGTATTTATTATATTTTCTCCTTATGTCCTTGATGAACAAGGGGCACCGTGGGTAAACCAACACATCACTACGGACTCATTCTTTTGCAGATAACTCATATGCAAGGTCTTTGATAATGTCAAAATTGTTGAAAAGCTTTCCCACATCTTCTCAATCAGTGGTAGAGGAAGTTAAGCAGTCAAATTTGTCAGAGGTATTACTCAATACTTATTTTTCTTTAGGAGGCATCAGTCATTTTTCCTTGAGAGTATTAAAATGAGTTAAAACTATCTCCTAGTGCCAACATGATATTGGGAAAAATAAGATACAATGCAAACTGTACATCCTATTGGTGAAGGAGGCACGTTCAAATGGACAAAAGGAAGGCAGTGAGGAAAAGATGATGAGAACAGAGCAAATAAGATGAATGTCTTAGATGCACCCAAACCAAGAGGCACTACAACCTGAGTGACATTGTAAGAAGGTTCAAGAGCTTGGCAAGCACACAGTCATGGGGGCACCACATGTCATACAATTGAAATATGGGAAAACTTCCTGAGAAAAATGACATGAAGAGAATTTATAGATGAGAAACCCGTAGTTTGTGACATTGAAAAATGAGACAGTGCCAGCCTTATAGTCTAGGAAAATTCCAACACGAAGGGGAGGAACAGTCAGGGAAAGGGTTAAGATCAAGGGATCTGAGGAGGAAGAGTTCTCAAAAGCATTATATTCAGAGTGATTCCGTAACCCTATAACCCAGTAACCATGTTTAGGTTGATATCTAGTGTAACTATTTTGATAATTTTTACCTTGTTTAGATGAAACCTTCAAGTTGAATCCAGAATATATTCTACTGTATACCCCCAGGATCCAGGCAGTTTTCCCTGACACATCTACCTCCCAGTAATGTTTCCCTGAATTGATAACCAGGGAGCCCAGAAAACCACAATCATCATCATTTCCGTTCTCATATGTATTTTCCGTTGGTGTCACTTGAAAACCATAAGGATCATAATTGTAACCCCAATGCGCTTGTATGTTTGGTTTCACTTGTCCCCGGTACGCAGAAATGGAAACAGTTGATTTAGACTTGACAGGATCCAGTGTCATGTGAACTGTAGAAAAATTACAAAGTTGAGTTAGACATATGATGTAGCTTTATCATACGTCATAAATGTATGACACTGTGAGAGGGATCTTGAAAATAACTTGAGTGGGAATTGGGAAGAACTTTGTTTTCTCCTTGGGGAGATATATAACACTGCAGAAACATAATATATATGTCTGTGTTAGAGGGGAAATGTGGCTGTTAAACATGAGATCTACTAGAAAATGCACAGTCTGAAAATGAAGAGAACAGGGTAGCATGATGATACTGTGAATTCTACTTACCCCAGTAGCGCCGCATGTCTGTGAGCTCTGAAATTACAAAAATCAGTAATATTAAATATAAGGAAAGGATTCAGCACTGAAAACTATCTCCTCTCCACGTTAAGGGAAGGATTGAGGACTATGTTAAGATAGTGAACTGATGAATGAGAGGATGAACCAAACACTTGGCCACTCTCCATTAAATTTGACCATATAATCAGCACATGATATCCATCCTTGTTTGTCTCTTCTATCCACACCTAGAAATTGTACCGTCTTCCCCATTTATCCCTGCTGTCACAAGATTCCCACAGCCACCCACTTGCTCTAGCATTCCTCACCATTAAACACTCTCAAGATTCCTCTTGGATCAGGAGCTCGGAACACTCTCCTTTGTTTCATAGGAAGAGGTTTTGGCTTCCTCAGAGTCAAGGTCTCACTCCTAGGGATGACAAAAGTTGACACACACATCTCTGACATTTTGTCCCTCTAAAACCATTGACTTCCTATCTTTTTACCCACTGATTCACTTGAACCTTCTTTCCTGAGGGTCTGAGAAAGGAGATAGTAGAGTACCGACCTGGGAAGCAGAAAAAATGTGTTATGTGCACCTTCTCATTTACTCTCTGTGTGACCTTGGGAAGATCTTGACCTCTCAGGAACAGATTCTTCCTTTCAAATAATATCATTAACCTCTCCCTCCCTACTTCCTAGAAATGATATGAAATGATATGAATGAATAGATCTAACAGACAAAAAAAAATATTGTTACTTAAAAAAGATTAATGTGTGGAAAAGCAACTGCATGGATGTGGCTTCCCAAGGACATGCCCAGAAAATGAGGTTGCAGAACATGGTTACTGGGTGCTTGAAACGTATCAAGTGGGGGAATGCTGTCTAGAGACGAAGATCTTCATGGTCTGCTCCCTAGTATGGAGGCCCTTGGAATGGCATCTGAGATTTCAGGTTCTCAGGGAACAATTACAAACACTTGGAAACCAAACTAAATGAACATCAAACTAATAGTGGTCTAAATTTCATATGTCTGGAAAGAGCCTGATGCTGCCATGTAGGTGTGCAAATTTACACACGAGGATGATGCCTTTCCATCTGGCTTCCAAAGTATGGGACCAAGACAGATCAATTGTTTGCACCCGGGCCAAAAGATTCTTTGAGATTCAAATCTGTTTTTGGAAATCTAAACAGAACCATATAGAAGGATTTGGTCTCTTTAATTCCAAGGGCAGAATTTTAAATATAAAAGAGGTGTCTCCTATTCTAGGTGCTTGGAAAATAGGGAAGACAGGAGTTTCTCAGGAGAGGTCAAGTGTCTAGGAAATATGGGAACCTGAGTGAGATACATACATGCAAGGTGAAAAATTTAGAAAGTCACAGGGGTCTCATACTGCAATACCTTCTCCGTAACACTACTACTGACCCAAACTCTGCAACTTCTCACCACCTAAATTCCCTACCACAGGATCTGGTACATTCTCAGTAGTTAGAGAACACTCAAGCCATGATTTACGAACAGAAATTTACAATAAAACTCCACCCAAATTTTCTTTCCCTGAGCATTATGTAATCCTATTTGAACATCAGATAATTCTAATGGTTTTAAACCTCTCTTCACAGCAAGAAAGGACCATCTCTGGTCTCCCTCACATACCTTTTCATGATGCCACTCACATCCTAGGGAGAAAAGAGGAAACATGAGTCAAGAAGTGATACACTCTCCCCACTTACAAATCTTCATCACATCTCCACCAACACTTGATGTGGTGGGAATAGAGATGGTCCCAATGTGAGGGCCAAAAAGTGAAGAAAACACCCAGAGCAATCATTCCTGAAGGCTCTTGAGAGGCTGTCACATTTCCTTAAAGTTAGAATCTGGTTTTACCCTGGTGGAAGTGCAGCATGAGGTTTCCAGATTCTGGAGATGAGACATATTTATGAGGAAAGCAAGAGATCCATAATTTTCTTCCTAAATGCATAAGGCTCCTCATGAGATGATTTGAATAATCCATCGTTTTTCCATTTATTCAATGGAAATGTAAAGTGATATAATTGTCAAGTGTTATGCAGGGTTTTGAGGATCAACGATGATATATATTATGATAAATAATCATAATATTCCTCAAGAAGTTTGCATGGATTTTGCTGAGGGGACAAGAAAACAAATGTATTACTGCAGGCATTTCTCAAATGACTCTTTTCTCATTTTATACACGATCTAAAAGTGACCTCATCTACTCCCTTCAATTCAACACACACATGTGCAGTTGATTCCCAACTGTTTATTCTTACTCAATTTTGCCTCTGAAATGCGGGTTAATATAGTCAGTAGAAAAAAGCCACAGGAGACAGTGACTTAGGATATCTAATAGGTAACTTTCTATTCATCAGCCAAATTGTCTCCTCTCTTATACGTCATTGTCCATAATGTTACTAATATACACTTGGTCACTGTGGTAAAAACTACAATATTTACCCTGCACATCAGTCTCCACCAAGCTGGTTTAATACACATCCTTAGGAGTTCTAGCCATCTAATCTTCCTTATTATCACAGATATTTTTGTCTGTTTTTGTTGTTTGTTTGCTGAGGAAGATTAACTCTGAATTAACATCTGTGCCAATTTCCTCTATTTTCTATGTGGGTTGCTGCCACAGCATGCTGATGAGTGGTATAGGTCCATGCCCAGGGTCCAATCCCACAAATCTGGGCTGCCGATGCAGTGTGCACCAAACTTAACTACTCGGCTACAGGGCCAGCCACACAGATATTGCTTTATTTATTTGAACAGATATGTACCAATGTATTTGGTCTCTTTTACCTAAGGCTTACTTCCTCTATGTCATCAAAAACTAGGCCAAGGTCTGGGTCTACACATGCCATGAAAATGGTTTTGGTCTCTGTGTTAGGGTTTTTTTGTTGTAATATGACAAAAGCCAAATAAAACTAGATGAACTAGAGAAAGGGATTTTGGGGGGCAGTTATAGATTTAGACAAAGTTAATTTTGAAGCTCAAATGTCGTCATCAGGATCTAGTCTATGTCTTTCTCTAAGCTCTATTTATTCTCTTTATATTGACTTTATTTTCAGTTCATGAAGGAAATATTCATCTCTGATATAAACGTCAGAAGAAAAGATACCTTCTCTTCCCAGTTATCGCAAAAAACTCTGAGATCTGCATGGCATTTTCTGAGCTGGATCAGGTACCCATACTAACAGCATCACTGCATTGTTGCTAGAAGGCAATTAAGCTGTGTGGGAGGCAAATTCCTATGTTTTACTGCAACTAAGTTTGTTTTACTCTGAAGTATGTCATGATAGGATAGGATGCATATTATAAGCACCAAAGCAAACACTAGGAAAATACCAAAAAAATGCACAAAGGAAACAAGTTAAGGAGAGAGGGAAGAATAAAATCTGGAGACACATAGAAAGCAAATAGCAAACTCCAGACTTTAAACACAACAGTATCAATAATTGCATTAAATATCCTGGTCTGAATACTCCAATGAAAAGGCAGAGGTTGTAGGACTGGATCAAAAGCAAGATTCAATTATTGCTATCTGCAAGAGACATATTTTGGATTCAAAGACAGGAATAAGGGAAAATGTAAAAATATAGTAAAATATATACCATAAAGTAGTAACCATAAAATTGCTTGTGTGTATATTAAATTAGACTAAATAGACTTTAAGAAAGTAAATATTATGAGACAATGAGAAGGGAATTTCATAATGATAAAAGGTCAAGTGCATCAAGAAGACATAACAATAATAAATGTGCATACACCGAACAACAGAGCTTCAAAATACACAAAATGAAATAGAAAAGAAAAACAGACAATTAAATAATAACAGATAGAGATTTCAATACTTCTCCTTCTCAATACCTAAGAGAATTGCTTGTATAAAAACTATGAAAAATTAGAAGACACAGACTATAGTCTCAACCAACTTACTGGAATTGACATCTTTCAAACTATTTCACGCAATGAAGGCAGAATATACATTCTCTCAAATTCACATAGAAAAAATTCTACATACAATATTTTAAGTCATAAAAAAGCTCTATATGGGCTGGCCCAGTGGCATAGTGGTTAAGTTCACGTGCTCTGCTTCAGCAGTCCTGGGGTTCACAAGTTTGGATTCCGGGCATGAACCTACAGACAACTCATCAAGCCATGCTGTAGTGGCGTTCCACATACAAACAACAGAGGAATATTGGCACAGATGCTAGCTCAAAGCCAATCTTCCTCACTAACAACAACAATAAAATAGTTCAATATATTTAAAAGATTGAAGTAATAAAATATATGTTCTCTGATTTCTGAGGAATTAAATTTGAAATCCACAGTAGAAGAAAAATTAAGAAATCACTAAATATTTTCTAAACAAAACACTTTCAAGCGTCCCAAGGGTTAACAGAAAAACAACAAAGTTGAACTGAGTGAAAATAAAAACTAAATAATCAAAATGTATAAAATACAACTAGAGCACTGCGTTTATAGTTAAACACTATATCAAAAAAGACAGTTTCAAATCACTGATCTAAGATCCACTTTAAAAAAAAACAGAAAAGGAACAGCAAACTAAACCCAACACACACACACAGGCATACCTTCATATATACACACAAACACACAATGAAGAGATTAAAGATGGGAGCAGAAATAAATGCTATCTAAAGGTTAAAAAAATAGATAAAAAATCATGAAATAATAAAGTTTGTTCTTGAAAAACATCAACAAAATTGAGCAAACATTACTAAACTCACCACAAAAATAAAAGTGAAAAACAAATCACCAAAATCAGGAATAAAAGAGGGAACATTATGGTGAGTGCTGTTGAAATCAGAAGGTTTATAAAGGATTATTATGATTAACTATATTAATACAAAGCAGACAACTTAGACAGAATGGAAAAAGTCTTACAGAGATATGAGTTACCAAAACCTGACTCAAGAACTGTAAAAAATCTAAATAAACTTAATGTATAGAAAAATCATATTTTACAGCTTTCCAAAAAGACAAGCCCAAGGGAGATAGCTTACCTGGTGACTTCTATTGAATATTTAAAGATAAATAAGGTCCGTTCTTCACAATTTTTTTCAAAAAATAAAGAAAAAGTGGGAGAAACTCAACTCATTCTATGAGAGAAAAAACAAAACTCCTGGAATCCGAAGTGCATTTGTTCATCTGCAACTAAGCTGGCTCATAAAGAGGCACCTAAAAAATGCCTCATATAGACCACAGATAATAGGGGCCTATGGAATATCACTGGAAAAGAAGTATCTTCTTTCAAATGAAAAATGTTTGCACTGCACCTGATAAATTAATAAAAATTATGTTTTTCCCTGTTATTCAAGCATTCAATTACTCCTATAACTTCTAAAATACAAACAGGGAAGGGATACTGAAGGGCCCAAGGAACCTTCATGACATCACCAGAAAGAACACAACAATAGAGAGGAGAAGGAAACTAGGCTTCATTCTTCCCAGATGTCAGAGGCCAGGGCTTCTTCCCAATTCTTACCTGCAGCATCTCCAGTGTTGACCCCTGCAACCGACGTTCCACATCTGAGATGAGAGTTGTCATCAACTGCCTCTGCTCCACCAGCTCCTTCTCAGACTTAGCCAGGTTCTGTAGAATAGTTCCCTCCTCACTCGTCAGCTTTTGCAGCTCCTTCTTCTCCTCAGAGTCCAGGATGCCTCTCATTTGGTTAAACTCAGCCTGGACACTTTGTCTCTCGTTTTGTATTTGATTCTTCAGAAATGAGAAAGAGAGAAATATACTCAGGCTCTTAGGTAAAGATTGGGAGCCAAAAAAAGAAATATTTTCTTTGGGAAATTTTCACAAGGAAGTGACTTAGAAGCAGGGGAGCAATGCTCGAAGAAGCTGATTTTCCTAATATTTTTTCTTCAGCATATTCCAAAATAATGCTCACAAATCTGCGTTATTGAGGTCAACTCTGAGCCAAAGTGGATACCTGGGTGTGGCTGAGTTTTCACACAGCTGTCCAGGAAAGTCAAACCTCCTTGCATTACTCCTGACTCCCACCCCTAGACTCTGCCCAAAGTTGAACACTGAGGACAGAACCAAGAGCCATTGCCAAAAGTCATCCCCCAGAAGAGTCAAAGGCTCAAAACCATGACAGGAAAGAAACAGAATTCACTCGCCATCCTGATTGGAGAGTCCATCTAAGTAAATACCTCCCTCCTGGTATCCATGTCCATTAGGGACATGTTCACTTTTCAACCCCCAACCCTGTCACAGAAAGGATAAAGAGGACTAATCAAATGAATTTTGGACATATCATCTGTCAGGAAACAAAGTGGAAGGGAGTGTCTTGGGAGTGACACCCAAGGTCCTGCCCAGATTTCACTCTAACTCCCTCAGGAAGTGTCTCCTCTTACCTTCCAGGAAGTTCTCTTTTCTCTGATGTCAGCTTCCAACTCCTCAGCTTCCCGCTGCGCCGCCCTTAGCCTCTGCAGAGTTTCCTGAAGCTTCTTCTGTAAGAGAGGAACCAAAGCAGAGTCAAGCACTGGGCTTTCTCAGCATAAAATCATAGGATAAATGGGGAAGAAATCAGGCTGTTCCCCAGAGAGACTAGAGTTTACAGGAACTGTGAGAACAGCTGTTTAGAATCTATGACTTGGAAGAAAACCTGAGGTGGTGAATGTGTTCTTTAAGACTCAGGTGGTGGAAGTCAGCATTCCCTTTCCAAGAGAAGATTGATTCTCTTTGTCCTAGAAGAAGAAACTTGACCCTAAGGGAAGGAAAGAACTTATATCTCAATCCACCCAGTTCCTCTGTTAACCGTCCTATCAAAGGGATAATGAGAGCTATTCTTGGGCACCGAATCTCCACCTACTAGCACAAGGTACAAATATATCTACTTCTGGTTAAGAGTCTGTATTGTAGGCTTATCCTTTTGTAATTGGAAGGAATGCACAGAAATGGCTTTCAGGCCTCAGAAGGTGAGTTTAGGAAGAAAAGACATCACAGGCCTCAGGGCTATAGTGACAAGGTCATTAAAGTGGAATACAAAGTGTGGAGATTTCTCATGAAGTATCACTCTCTGCCCTCTCTTTTCTCCATTCTGGTCTCTTACCTGATATTCCTGGGCAACCTCGTCCATGAGAAATGTTTGGTGACGACGGTGCTCCTGAGACCGCTCACAAAGCCAGCAAATGACCTTCCCATCCTTCTTACAGAAGAGCCGGAGTTTCTCTTCATGGTGCACACAGAGATCTCTCTTCTGCCCCTCTTCTGGGCTCAACTTGACCTCCTTGAGCCTCTCCACTATGTTGGCCACATGCCGATTAGGCCGCATGTTAACAGGTTGGTAAGTGATTCTGCACACGGGGCAGCTGCCCTCTCCTCCTTGGTCGATCTTGGACTCTTTGTTCTTTGCAGTGATGCAGGCTTGGCAGAAGCTGTGGCCACATTCTAGGCTCAGGGGTTCTGTCAGGAGCTCCAGGCAGATGGGGCAGGTCACCTCCTCCTTTATGTTCACCAGGATTCCTGAAGCCATCACAGATGCTCCCCTGTCCTATTTGACTGACTTCTGAGGCTCCTCTACTCACAGATCTCTGCATGATTGGGAATGTGGAAAGGGACAAAAATACAAAGTTAAGAATAAAATGATACCAGCTGTATAGAAACCAAGGACAAGCCAAGACCAAAATATTGAAGGACAAAAAGAAAAGGTAGAGAAACAAAGAAGCTTGTTGACCTGGTAAAAAGGACTTTTTATAGTAATTTCAAACACTTTACTCCTATTCAAACCATAGGAGAAATTCCCTCCTTATCTGTGCAATGATTGGTATTTTCCTTTACTTTCACTGAATGAAAGGATGATCTGAAGACTTTTCTACCAAGATCCTTGTGTGACACACCATCTATCCCGCTTGTTCTTTCCCAGGCCAAAAGCACATCCTCAACGGTAAGAGCCCCAAACCACTTATGCCTCTGGGGTTTCACACTTGCTGTCTTCTCTCAGCATGGAATGCTGCCCCTGATATCAGTATGACTCTCACTTATCCTTAAGTGAACTCTCTCTAGACCTGTTCTCATATCTGAAAAACTTGCTCTAACTTATTTATAATGTAACCATTGCCATCACTTGCTATACATTTGTGATTTTTCATATAATCATATGACAATGTATATGTGTACATGAGAAGATCAAACCCTTTATCAGATGTGTAAATAGAGATAATGAGTGACTCACAAAGGTTACTTATCTTCAATTCACAGAGTTGGAATGAACCTAATCTTTGGGGTCCTACTTCAGAGGTCTGGCTCCTCCTACTCCACAGAGTTTTTCAAACTCGAACAAAGGAAACTTCACGGATTCAATTAAAACCCAGAATGGGGCCTGTGGAAGTGAAGAAATGCAGACTAGTTTGGAGTTTCTGGGGAGCCTTGTGTTTATAAATGGAGAGATTTTCAACTTGACCTGGAAATATGCCAAGGACATTGATAAGAACCTAAATGTGTGTGTGGATGTGGATAGTAGAGAGGGAGATGGTATGGATATCCTCAAAGGGTCACACATGTTGTACCTGCAACAATAAAAACACAGGTGAAATGAATTTGAATCTTCAGAAAGAAGGCTCAAAATCTTTGTCAACATAAATCAACAAATTATCATTGATGATGAATTATGTTAGCATATTTAGCTCTGCACTTGGGGTGTGAAATGTTAGATCGATCCAAAGTGGAAGTGAGGAGATCAGTTAGCAGGCATGCACATTGAGGGACAAGGTGATGAAGGGAATGAAGAGTACCAAATGAGTGAGAGACAAGATAAGGTAGAAGGATAGGACTGCGACTTATTTGGATATGTGGGAACAAAGGGTTTCCATCAGGTTCAAGTTCTTTCTTCTTATAAAGATGATATTGGCTTACACTTCTCCTAGTAAGTTTTTTTTATTTCTTTCTTTCTAGGAAACCTACTGGGTTACAATAAAGTGGAAGTTCAGCTGCCTTGATGGTATAAATGGCTCAGTGTATAAAGTGATTTGTGCTGGGAAGACCTTAAGTATATGGCCCGATGTATAAAATAATTTCTACTAGGAAGACTTTATATAGACCTTAAAAGCCAGTGGTAAGCACAGACTTCATTTTTCACAAGTGAATGTGACTCTTATAATCAAATATGTCTCTTTTAGGGCTCTGGAAGCTATGCTCATGGGCTGTCACAAGGTAATCAGTGCTTTGTAGTCCTAGGCTTATCTAACCTAGTTTTACAGACATTCACCTAGTTTGGCTTCTTATAAAGCTGAGATGACAGAGATAAAGCACTTCCTGTACCACTCTAATATCCATCACTGAGAACTCACCAGAGGCAGCCATGTAGGCATGCTGTGACTGCTGTCCGGTATCCCCCAGGTAATCTATGTGAACCTGGCAATTTATGTATTATTAGGTCACATAGATGGAAATGGTCATCCAGATTGCAAACTGCTGCTGCTAATCAGTCAGAGGGGGGATCACAGAATGGCAGCACTGTTATGCTTATTCTCTGCCCTGCGCTCAATATGGCCCTGTGGCCACCGTCTAGGATTAGGAATTCTGTCAGGAGCTCCAGGCAAATGGAGCTATGAGGCAATAAACAATGAAGAGGAGATCTCAGTAGATATTAACATCTTGATAGTTTCCAAAGTTTGACGGTAAAAGAAAACTCTCCCGCATGAGACAACCAATAAATTTTCCCTTTGCTATGCACAAGGGAGGGAAAAGCTATAAAGGCTGCATGGAGACAAAGTTAGACATTCTGAACGTATCTACTTGTGCAACACACATCATACATGAAGGGAACCTGATAAAGAATGAGGCTGAAGGTGAAGTAGAAGTATAATACAGCTAATAGTACAGATACTGAAAATAGTTCAAAGGTCTTATGCGGTTAGACCCTGGCTGCAGAGACCATGGCTTAGATCAGAATTAGATGAATAGCAAGATCAGAGATAGTTATCACACCAGGGGTAGATATTACATGATAATGCCTACACCTGTTTATGACTCAAGCTGTGTTGCAAACATGGGGGGCAGGCCTAAAATTATTTCTCATCCTGTTCAAGATCTAACCAATGCATCAAGAGCCTATAGTGCAGGAAGGAGCAGAGCATGCTCTCCACAGTGGGATTAGAAAATTATTTTCATAATGGGCTACAAGGAGCTAACGTCAAGGCAGCTGCCACAATGGACACAGAAGGGCAATGTGCAGAGGAGCTAGAGTCCTCTCCCTTGGAAGATGACCCCACCTCTACCTAAGCAGTGTCCCAAGGGCTCAACAGCAATCAGGGAGATAGATATGGGAACATGAGTGGTGTCTGACTGATAGAACTCCCAGGTCGGTTGGCTGATATAGGTGTCAGGTGATTGTACCTTACACATCAGTCTTCTGACATCTGAGCTCATTAGAATACAAACTCAAAATGTTCCACAGACGCCAGCTAAGAACAAGTGAAAAAAGACATTAACTATGTAAAATTCCAAACAATAAGGATATGGACAGAATTTCCTTGTTTTGTCACTGAAACTAAAAACTGTTTCTGTAACCATGATGAAACTGCAAATTACTGATGTTAAATGGAAAGAGTCACTTTTCCTAAATGAAATGTAAAGATAAAACTGCTATGTTTTATTTGCCAAGTAGTCATCTAATACTGGTCAATATAAACTTGTAATCCCAACAAATTAAACATTGGAGCAGAAAAGTAACAAATCAATCCTAAATTCCCATGATAACTGGCATGACAAAGGTGTACTGTACAAGATCAGAAGACAGTTGCCTGACACTGACTTATGGCTGATGCGGGGCCAAGAATGTGCAGAAGAGGTGACAATCTCCAAAGTCAACTTGGATAAATTAAGATTGGGTCACATGATGGGAAGTCAGAGGGAGAAAAGGGATTTGACTGGTGTCCTCCGTATGCCTGAGAAAGATGGGTGTAGATGTATCTTCTTCAGGAGGTGAAAGTGAACACAGAGACTTCCACACTCTAACTTCCTTCCCTCATGGGTCTCAGGATCTTGTTGTCATACTACTTCTTCTGACATCTTCTTATATCATTAACATCAATCAAGTAACTCCTTTTGTTTATTAAAGTTGGAAAAGATACTACTTCTGGACATTTTACCTACATTTTCCTCTTGCTCCTGATCTCTCATCTGAGTTTTGTTTCTTTGTGACACATGTGGCTCATGGAGAAGGATGAGCAAGGTTAGTGATTTTTAAAGGAACTGCACCAATTTCCTGTGTCTGGACAAGTGAATCCATGCCAGGTGTCACTCTGTCATGGTTCCTACGCACAGACAGGCCTAGCTGAGAATTTATCTATAGAGTCATGCAGAAATACTAGATTGCTCCACTGATAGACATTAAACTGCTAGGATGCAAAGATCCCTCTGCCTGCTCCTGTTGTTGGGGGAAGGGACTTTCTGCTTCTGGTAAAGCCAGGAGTCTGCCTCTCCTTAGCAAGGTACAATTCAAAACTATAGATCAGGGAGGAGACAGAGATAAATTCAGCTTGGAGAAATAACAGTCTCTCCATGAAACAAAGAAAGTTTTTCACTTTTACAAATTCCCCTTCTTCCTTTTTTTTGTTTTTGGTGAGGAAGATAGGCCTTGAGCCAACATCTGTTGCCAACCCTCCTCTTTTTGCTTGAGGAAGAGTGTCACTGAGCTAACATCTGTGCCAATCTTCCTCTACTTTATGTGGGATGCCACCACAGCGTGGCTTGAGGAGCTGTGCTAGGTCCACACCCAGGATCCCAAACTGCAAACGCCAGGCTGATAAAGTGGAGTGGGTGAACTTACCCACTATGTAACTGGGCGGGCCCCAAATTTCCCTTCTTTTAAGGGCACATTTATCCCAGACTGTACTTCAGTCAGCACTTTCAGCAGGAAGCCTGTGACCTGGATCTTCATCCTGCTTCAGAACAGCTCCCTGTACGTAAATTAAACTCACCCAAGCAAATTTAGATTTTTACTCTGAACTCACCCCAACTCTGCCTTCTACAAACTACTCAACAAACCTTCAGACACCAATGGAGAAGTTCTGATTCCTCGGAGGTGAGTGAAGGCAGGCCACCGGCAGACACGGTCAGGATTCACTCGGCAAACCAGGGTCCTGATCTTCAGGAAGAGAGCCCAAGGAGCCAAGCGAAAATGAAAGTTAAATTCTTAGCAGAGTGCACTTAAAAGGAGAAGAGAAGCTATGGACCAATGAGAGGCCTCCATACAGGGCCCTTGGGAAATGACAAGGTTTGTGCCTGAGCCAAATGAGTCCATGAGTGCTTTCTCATTCCTCTCTCAGTTCTAGTCCGCGAAGCTCTTCAAGGTAATTCTATCTTTGGAGCACTAGGCTTACTTAGGCAATCGAATTTCACACACACACACCTGCTCTTACAAATGAGCTGTCATGAGAGGGGAATACACTACCTCCTTTGCTACAGAGCAGACAATTATTGGCCAAGTAGCCCATTATTTCTATTTCTCTTACCTTTAAGTAAGTTGGTAAAGAGTTGGAAATAAAAATGCCAAAAGACACGGGGACACCAGCCTGTACTTCAGGAACACTCGGTGCTGCAGCATCTGCCCTGCTGTCCCACTGCAGGAGAACAGGCTTTCCTTCATTCCTGAGGACTGCTGTAGCCTTTCAGCTCACTTGAAAGAGTGTGGCTGACCAGGAAAGGGAAACATTGACCTTGACCATTGCTGACAGAGCCCATGACCAAAGTTCTGACCCTTCCTCTATCACTGTAGTAATAATGGGAATCAGCAACCTGAGAATGAAGATTGATCTTGGTAAATACAGAAAAGGTTCTCCATTGATAGAAAATTACTGTGGAAGTAGAAAAGAATATCAAATCAACTTGTACCTAGTATAGTCATTTAGATTAAAGAGGCTGTTCCAGTAATTAAGATAAAAACAGGCTAAGTAACTTTGAAAATGATAAAACCTTTTCTAGTGAAGAAAAGTTTATTATGTGCACAAAACAGTATTGTTAACTAAAGTCATGTACCATATAACAACGTTTCAGTCAATGATTAACCAAACATATGATGGTGGTCCCATAAGATTACTACCATAGAGCCTAGGTGTGTAGTAGGTTACTATCTAGGTTTGTGTAAGTGCACTGTATATTCACACAATGACAAAAGCATCTAATGATGTATTTTTAGAAATTATGCCTGGCCTGAAGCTATGGACAACCGTATAGGCAGAATGTTGTAGAGTAGATCCCTAAGACTTATTTATCTTGCTAACTGAAACTTTAAATCTATTGAACAGCAAACTGATAAAAACTTATGTTAATCTCGTGTTAAATGTCCTTACCACAATTAAAAAAATACAGTTTGACTGATAGCAGACTATTATATAGCAAAGTGAAAAAGAATCTTTACAGAAAAAAATTAGAATTATGTACTCAGATAATTATCTGTAAGTTCAAATAGAGATATTTGAAGATTAAAACAAATATTTATTATGCAAAAATATGAAATTAAGAAATAATCTGTGATTCTTTAATCAGGCTAGTCTGTTTCAAAGCTCAGCAAAGGTAGTAATGTATAAAGAGGTTTAATTTCTTCTTAACATTAATTATTGCAATTCACAGAAAAAGTTTAATCAACACTAATCTGGATCAGTGCTTATGTGCTAGGAATGAGGAGGCTACTACAAACATTCTATTTCCTGTCATCTGAGATTTTCCTATGATGCCCCCAGCAACTTCTGCAGATCTGGATCCCCTGCATTCTTCCTCCTACCCTACATCATAGGGAATCTGGTTTCTATATTTCTTTGGGGGAGTATACTACAGCAAGGGCACGTGTACTTGAGGAACCCAGATCTAGTTCTAATCCTGCCTTGTCCACTCTTTAACTGTGGGACCATGGGAAATATCTCATAAGTTTATCTATTCTTTCAACTACCTGATAGGAATCCCTTCTTCACTTGACAATTATGAGGTTAACTGTGATAATGATATCCTATGTGTATATATATATATATATATATATTTATATAGACAATCATATATATATACTTATGTATGTGTGTGTGCATGAGTGTGTATACCATTCCCAGACCAAGTATTTTCTATTTTATTCCACTGGGTCAGGTTATTACACTTCTATATCTTGATGTGGGTGCTGGGCAGCAGGCTTCCCTAGTTTATAACGCATATCCTCTAAGAAAATGTGTAGCTTTGCTATCCTGGGTAAGTCTATCCCTCATGCTCATTTGAAGCTGGTTAAAAAAGAGAAGAAAAGTGCATAAGATTTTCTACATGGTGTATACTCATGTGTTGTACCACAGGGAAACAGACTAAACATCAGAAGCCTGTCCCTTATAAAAGTAGCTGTCCCTAGATATGGCTCCTTCTGCTGGACAGATTTTGGGAAGCCCCTGATCTAGCAGTTTTCAGACCTGTTTCCAATGAAATGCCTTAAAAACCATCCCAGCCTTGGTGTAAAAAGTTCTATAGAAGAAGACTGGAACTGGAGTGGTCTTGACCGTGGAGTACAGAAACTTGAGAAATGAGACTTCAGTAGTATCAACTATGGTTCCTCTGAAGGACACAAGTCTGTGGCAGGGGATATTGACACAGCGTGTACTTTTCAGTAATCATCAGAGAAAGTATTTATTATACCGTGCAGGACACTTAAATAGCTTCCTTACATTGAGAGGCACTGAGTTTTACACAAGGATCTAAGAGTTAAATATAGTTATGAATCCCAATTTGTATTTTAGGAAAAAGGAACCCTGAATTTATTCATCATTATACATCTTGTAAAACAAGAGACAGGATAATCTTCACTCTGCATACTTATATTGTTTACATTTTCCTTTCCTTGACTCCCTGATGAATCCCATGTATCCTGGGCACCTTATGGACATACAGTCAAAGACTCCTTAGTTGGTGATGATGGGTGGAGGGTGTTTATGGACTGTTGCAGATAACAAGGATGGAGGCAGACAGGCTTTGCCATGTCTCTTCAGATCAGTGATAAAGGGAAATATGGAGAAATGGCAGAGCCAACATATTATATCAATACTGTACCATCTTAAGGGAGTAGACATCTTTCTTTGAGACTATACAAAAGGATAAATGGTAAATAAGCATCTCTCCTAACTCAAAACAGACACTCTTACATCCCAAGGATGTGTAAAAGTTCTCTAGTAAAGAACGGAGACACGAAAGAAGATATGGTGGAAATTGTGGAGCTGAGTTCAGGTGTAGAGATGAAACCCGGGGCAAGGGGCACTACAAGAAGCAAATGAGAGAAGATGAAGTTTCAGAAGCTGTGTTTGAACCAAGTGACAGGAGCTGGAAAGTTCCAAGTATTGAAATAATAGATAAGCAATCTGATAAAAGTGACATTTAGAGGACTAGATGAGTGACCCATGGTTTGTGACATGGAAAAATTAAACAATGTCTAGGGAACCGGCCTGGTGGCATAGTGCTTGTGTTGGCATTCTCCACTTCTGTGGTGCGAGGTTCACTGACTCGGATCTGGGGTGCAGATCTGTGCATTCCTTGTTAGGCCATGCTGTGGCATGCATCTTACATGTAAGGTGGAAGCAGATGAAAACAGATGTTGGCTCAGGGCCAATCTTCCTCATTAAAGAGGAAGATTGCTGGCAGATGTTAGCTCAGGGCAAATCTTCCTCAAAACAAAAAAAAAATCATGAGACAATTTCTGCTTCATAGTCTGGGAAAACCCTAACCTGATGGGGAAGAACAGCTATGGAACTAGTCAAGACCTTGAGGTCTGAGGTGGAAGAGTCCACAAAGGCATTGTACCCAAATTAAATCTGTAACCCTATAACCCAGTAGCCATATAGAGTCTGTATCTGGATTAAACATTTGTCTAATTTACATTTGGGTCAAAACCAAACCGAGAGATCTAATATCTACTGAGGTTTCTTGCTTTATGGTATACCCTCACGACGCAGGCAATCTTCCTAGACACATCTGCTTTCCAGCAATATTTCCCCGAGGAGAAACACTAGCAGTCCAAGATGTCAAATGCAGAAATATCACATGGATATATATTCCTCAATGTAAAAGTGTGCACAACTCTGACTTGTCTGATCCACAGATAGGACAATACTTCAAAGAGCATTGACTGGATTTAGCATCACATTGGCTGCAGGAAAAATTACAGGGTCAGGTGAGGGATGGAAAATGGGTATGTCTTTTGACATTGGGAGGATGACCGCTGGGAGCTGAGTAGGAGGAACTAGTGTTCAGGGGTCAGAGATGAGTAGGACACTTAAGGATTGTTGTATTATGTATGTTTGGAGAAGAATGCATGAAGCTAAGATCATGAGGCCTATTAGTAACCACAACTTCTGAAAAGGGATCGGAACATGGAGATTTGAAGACCTAAATTTATTCTTATCTCAGTAGCATTGGCCCTCTGTCAGCTCTGAAAAGACAAAACTTGCAATGATGTTGTCAGAACCAAAGGAGTAAACACTGATACCTATCCTCTTTCTAGAGGGGGTCCAGGGAAGTGGAGCCCTGTGAGGCTATGAACTTGAAAATGAGAAGACGAAGCAGAAACCTGGACATTCTCTACTACATCTGATCACATCTTCAGCACAGGGTGGCTCTCTTTCTTCTCAGTCCGACTTCTTTTTCACCCGCTTCTAGAAACAACATCCACTCCTCCATATTTCACTCTTACACTACAAGAATCCCACACCCACACCATTCCCCTGGCTCTTATCACCTTTAAGAACTTGCAACATCCCAGTCAGATCTGGAACTCGGAATGCATGCTTCAGTGTCTTGGAAACCATTTTTGGCTCTTTCAAGGTTCAGGTCTCACTCCTGGAGAGGACAAAAACATCGATCATTGCACACTTCCAAACTTCTATGTCTCCAAGACCACTGCCTCCCTCACCTATCACTTCATTGATGCACTTAAATCCTCTTCATGGAGGATCTTTAAGGGGGAAGAAGGGAGAGCCCTGGCACTGTACCGAGTAGAAATCTACTCTTGTCTACCTTTCCATTCACCCTCTGTGTGATCTTGGGAACATCTTCACCTCAAAGAAACTCCAGGCTATTCCTTCTAAAATGGAAAAGTTAACCCCATACTCTCTACCTTTTAAAAATAGTATAAAATTAGATCAAATAATGGTACCTTTAAAAGGTATCTGATGCCTCTAACTAAAGTATTTGATACATGGAGAAATCACTGCCCTCTCAGTGGCTTGACTAGGGTGAGGCCAGACATGTGAGGTCCCAGGAAGATGGTCAGTAGAGCAGCTTCAGAACCTGGCTATTGGGGAGTTAATGTTATCATGTGTGGGACTCCACTGTTGAAACTCTGAAGGGTCTCCAAAGACTGTTATCCCAGTATGAATGCCCAGAGATTCCCATCTGAGGGCACATTCTCAAAGGACACGTTACATTCATTTGGAAAAGTGGAAGTTATGATGACTCAATTAATAGTGGTCTGAATTTCACATTTTTGGGAAGTCTTTGATACTGCCAGATAGGTAGTCAACTTTTACATAAGAAAACTATTTTTCCTACAAGATGCTAAAGTACGTGAGCAAGAAGAGATTAATATCAGCACCAAGTCAAAATCCGCTAATCCCAGACACTTGAGTCTAATTTTTGGAAATCCAAAAAAAACCCTCCAAAAATCTGATTTTTTCTATTCTCAGGAAGAAAAGTGAATATAAAGGAGCTATCCTTGTGAATAATTTGGGGCCCTGGGATAGAAAGAGGACAGGTTGTTCCCTGTGATAAGACATGTACCTAAGAAATATGGAAACAAGAGCTGAGGCAGAGACTGAGGTTTGGCTAAGACGAGTGAAGTTACGGAGTTCTGATACAGCAGCATTTCATTTCTTATGCTTCTATTGACCCTAATTCTGTGACTCTGAGCTCCCACCACCCGAATTCCCTACCATTGACAACTCTTGTCTGTGCTCAGCAATTTGAAACAATGTAATACTCAAATTTCCCAGCTCTGTGATTTTTTAAAAAATTCTGATTGATCTCATAACACTCCTGGCTACAATTGTGTC